GAGGGGGCTAAATCTGGAGAATATACTGGATGGGGTAGCAGTTCGTAGCTCAATTGATGAATTTTTGCCATCGTAACTACACACGTGTGCACCCGTGCATTGTCTTGATGGAACAGCACTTTTTCTCGCCAAATGCGGTCGTTTTTGCTTCAAATCAATATCAAATCTGTCTAAAATCTCTGAATAATATTCGCCGGTGATCGTTCTACCCTTCTCAAGGTAATCGATGTGAATGACACTGCGTGCATCCCAAAAAAAACTGTGGCCATGACCTTGTTGGCTGACAGACCTACCTTGGCCTTCTTTGGTGCACGTTCACCCGGTGAAACCCACTGTTTTGATTGTTCCTTGGTCTCTGGTGTATTGTGATAGATCCATGTTTCGTCCACGGTTACAAAACGGCGCAAAAACTCGTTCGGATTGCGGCTGAACATCGCCAAACACTCCTTTGAAGTGGTCACACGGTTGCGCTTATGGTCGAGTGTGAGCAATCGCGGCACCCATCTCGCGGATAGTTTTTTCATATCCAAATATTAATGTAAAATGTGATGTATCCGCTCAGTTGAGATGCCCACAGCCTCAGCCACCTCACGTACTTTCATTCTCCGATCGTCCAATATTATTCCATGAATTTTATCGACGATTTCTGGCGTGATGACCTCTTTTGGGCGACCTGAACGTTCGGCGTCACTTGTGCTGATACGACCACAACGAAACTCAGTAAACAACTTCTTAACCATTGAAATTGATGGTGCAGAGTTTCCATAGTATTTATCAAGTCTTTCCTTGGTTTCAGTGATGGTTTTTTTACGCAAAAAATAATGCTTAATCAGCACACGAAATTCACTTTTTTCCATTTTTGTTACAATTCACGAGGTTGTCTGCTTTCAATGGCTGTCAAACACAAACTAAATGACGCAGCTTGCTCAACATTTAACAGTAGTCTATTAATAGATGGCGGTTGACGGCAGCAGTGTTGCATTTAAAGTTACTGCGCGGGAAATTCAAAAAGTCTCTGACTTATCAAACAGCCCTCGTATTATGAAAAATTTTTAATAAATGATAATTTGTACAATAAGGTAAGCTCAATGTTTGTTTAAACTTATAATTTTATAGTGTATTTATTACAAATGAATTAATCCGGAAAAAACCATTTCTATCTTTTACTATTTAAATATATATTATATCAAATTATTAATCAAAATGTTATTCAGGAAGTTATTTACAATATAGTTATATATAATAGTTTATACTATTACAAATATAAATTATATAATTCTATCAATAGTTGAAGGTAAATATAATAAGAACATTTAAAAAGCATCGACGTATATGTTCCACTATCCCACAAAAGGTTAAAGTTTGCATGACAATGAGTATTCATTGAAAATGTTCAACATCTTGTAGATAAAATTAAATATTGTGTTACTTCAAATACAAAACATTTGTATACGTACCAGTTTTGTATCTTCGCCGCAGTTGGGTGTGGGAGGATAATTTGGCACACTATGTATTAGCCAAAAACCTAACCACTGGTTCACCATTACGATGCCTTTCGCGTGGCCATATTTTCCATTAATGGGTTTGTTAGGCGGATTGTCGTTATATAACACCCAGAAAATGTTTGCTGCTTTATACTGCAAATACATAATTATGTAAATAAATATAAAATATTTGAGTTTTGAAAAACTGATCAAAACATAATATCGCATTTCCCGAAATAGATTTCTCAAAAGTAGATAAACTAATGTTATGTCCTGTAAGCTACACACACCTTTATTCGGAATGCATTGTGTAGGACTAATCACTCATCCAACAGAATTTTAAAATAGTTAAGTAAACAAGAGAACCTTAAATCTCGATTTATATCATCTTACGAAATCACTTGTACAGGGTGATCAGAAACAATCGCATTCGGTTAATATTCTCATATTTATGAGCGAATTCTAAGACTATTTTTCCTCTTGCAAAATGTTATCCGAGGCTTAGTTGCTGAAGTATAAAGAGAAATAGTTAGCCATTCACAGACCAGATACAGAAAGTAGATAGGAGCGGCACAATTCACCATCAGACACAGACATTGGGCAATACACATGTGACAATATTCATACAACTTAGTTTGTAAATTTTCAATGCTTGCGTCAATATGATTGTACACAATAATAAATAAATTATTTTAACTTAGTTGAATATGATTATAACATGACATGTAAGGGTGAAATAGTTGATTGCGTTCGCGCACGCGAACTAGACCTAAGTGCAATATAAACTTTACAAATACGAAAAACTTTAAAAATAAGCACGAGAGGAACGAAACATTAATCGTACAAAGCATAAGATATTCTTACATTATTTGAGAAAATCGACGAGTTTGTATTTTTTTGTAAAAATTGTTTATCTTGAAAAAGATAGTTTTTAACACAACTTCATTACTTGTGAGTTCGCTCTCAAAAACTACGGTATTAGCAACGTTTTATGAGTTAAACGCAAGCGAGCGATATATATATCGGTGAGATACGCAAACGAGACTGATTAGAAAATTTTAAGAGAGGCTACGAATCACGCTATTTATTGTAAAACGCGAATAAACGTCGTATCTTTAATCTCCGTTTTCGTGAATTTTGCGTGCGAAACGCAACAAACGTTCACAATTCGCGATCAAATCGGATGTAATAAACTCGAAAGAAACATGAACTCGTTAATATTACGAAGACGCTATCTTATCTTATCTATAATATCTTATCTATAATATCTTATGCTTTGTACGATTAATGTTTCGTTCTTCTCGTGCTTATTTTTAAAGTTTTTCGTATTTGTAAAGTTTATATTGCACTTAGGTCTAGTTCGCGTGCGCGAACGCAATCGACTATTTCACCCTTACATGTTATATTATAATCATATTCAACTAAGTTAAAATAATTTATTTACTGTTGTGTACAATCACATTGACGCAAGTATTGAAAATTTACAAACTAACAAGGAGATACCACAACCTGCTAAACCGATTTCTGAACGAATAATAGCACGTTCACTAACTGTGATGTTGAGCATCAATATTCTAACAAGGTTTGTGCCAATGGGCCTTTGTTTGTGAGAAATTACAGTATAAAATTTGGATCACGGGACTATATCACACATATGGTTAAAGTTATGGCTATCTTTCAGAAAGGCGGCGTGGCTGAGCAGATTGAGGTTCCCATCGAACATTTTTGAGCTGGCAGCGAGCGTTCGAATTCTGGCAACGAGTTGTCTAGGTGCGATATTTTTTTTTCTTACCTTAAGGTATGTAATTAACATTTTTTTTAATATAATACATTTGTTTTGCATATGTCTTTCGTTTTTATGCTATTAACCAGGAGTAATTAGGGAAGTATCAAACTTGTTTAACGCAAACACGAATATAGACACAATTTGCATTGCTTACAATGAAATATATTTTAGTACATTTGAAAATATTTTTGGTGCTGATGATAAATAGTAAGAAAGTGATTGTATGTGCATCGCATTATCTCGAATGTCCAAATGTATACTTTTATTGCTTGTAAATAAATCAAGATAGTTGTACATTCTCGTTATCATACTTTTAACCTGTCTATAAAAAACAATGCACGGCAGATAGATTGCTGTATATTTCAGCGATATTATTTGCAAATTATATGTTGACTTATATTTTGTAAGCATTTGTATACAGTTTATTGTTGTTTCTCATCTAATTCTCCCTGATTAATAGCATAAAAATGAAAGACATGCAAAACAAATGTATTATATTCGGAAAACATTAATTATATGCTCTAAGGTAAGAAAAAAAAGCCGCACACGGACAACTCGTCGTCGGGATTCGAACGCTCGCTGCCGGCTCAAAAATGTTCGACATGGGAGCTTCAGTCCGCTCAGCCACAACGCCTTGCTGAAAGATAGTCGCAACTTTAGTAATATGCAGAATATAAAATATCCCACGACCCAAACTATACTGTAATTTCTCACAAACAAAGGTACATTGGAACAAATCCTGTTAGGATATTGATACTCAACATCGCAGCTAGCAAACGTGCTATGACTCGTTCAGAAATCTATTTAGCAGGTTGTGGCATCTTCTTGTAAGATGTATGAATATTGTCACATATGTATTGCCCAACGTCTGTGTTTGACGGTGAATTGTGCCGCCCCTGCCCACTTTCTGTATCTGGCCTGTGAGTGGCTAGCTATTTCTCTTTATATCTCAACAACTAAGCCTTGGATAACATTTTGCAAGAGAAAAAATATTAGGTGTACAACTTTGCTTCCGCCATTTTCCTATAGATGGCTTTAGTGGTAAATGGTAGTCGAAATAAATAGATCATAGATGTCATACAATAAACTTGGGCATCTGTCAACATAACCCCATAGAAACATTAGTCGATTTGTATCTGCATCATAAAGTTATTCTCGATTGAAAATGTCAGTTTACGAGCCAAATTCTCGTCATTTGCGGGAGATTTTAATTTTCTGCTTCAATATGAAGAAATCTGCGGCTGAGGCTCATCGAATGCTCCCAAATACTTATGGTGAGGCCGCTATTAGTGAAAGAACGTGTCGTGAGTGGTTTCAACGCTTCAAGAACGGTGATTTTGACGTCGAAGACCGGCATAGCGGTGGAAGAGAGAAGGTTTTCGAATATGCAGAATTGGAGACATTTGATCAAGACTAGTGTCAAAATTAAGAAGAATTGGCACGATCATTGGGAGTGACTTAACAAGCCATTTCAAAACGCCTCAAAGCCATGGGAATGATTCAGAAACAAGGAAATTGGGTGCCGTACGAATTGAAGTCGAGAGATGTTGAACGGCGTTTGTTTGCTTGTGAACAGTTGCTTGAAAGGCAAAGACGGAAGGGATTTCTGCATTGCATTGTGACTGGGGACGAAAAATGGGTTCATTACGATAACTCCAAGCACAGAAAATCATGGGGAGTTCCCGGCCATGCTTCCACGTCGACGGCCAAACCGAATATTCACGGCTCCAAGGTCATGCTCTGTATTTGGTTGGACCAGCTCGGCGTAGTGTATTATGAGCTGTTAAAACCGACTGAAACAATCAATCGATCGGTATCGAACGCAATTGATGCGTTTGAGCCGAGCATTGAAAGACAAACGGTCGCAATACAACGAAAGACACGATAAAGTGATTTTGCAGGATGACAATGCTCGACACCATGTTGCGAAAGTGGTCAAGACATAGTTGGAAACGTTGAAATGGGAAGTCCTACCCCATCCGCCGTATTCTCCAGACGTTGCTCCCTCTGACTATCACTTGTTTCGATCAACACACGGCCTGGCTGACCAGCACTTCCGGTCTTATGAAGAAGTAAAAAATTGGATCAATTCGTGGATCGCCTCAAAAGATGACCAGTTTTTTCGACGCGGGATTCGTACGCTGCCCGAAGAATGGGAGAAAGTAATGGCCAGCGATGGACAATACTTTGAATCATAAATGTATAACCAGTTTTTTACAATAAAACCTCAAATTTCGGAAAGAAACGGCGGAAGCAAAGTTGTACACCTAATAATCTTAGAATTCGTTCAAAAATATGAGAATATTAACCGAATGCGATTGTTTCCGACTACCCTGTATAAAGATAGTTATGAAACACCCACGTTACGTCACCTACACTGCACACGATCATGAGTTTTCGAGTTTTCCATAACCTCAGAATTTCCTCCAATCCAACCCTTATAGAAATATCATACTAAGAATCATTGATAATTACTTATTATCCAGTATTTTTAATACTGAAAATAAGTAATTATCAATGATTCTTAGTATGATATTTCTATAAGGGAAGTCATCATCCTCCTCAAGCACATCATTTTCAAAGAATTCGGTAACCATTATCTCCGAAATTTCCTATTTTCCAAACCTGACCGCTTCCTATAAAAATCCCGACTCGTATGACACTTCGACATATCCACTTGGACATTTGTTCTTCTGCGTTTTCGTAGCGTTTCCGCGCGAGATCGTTCCGCTGCCACTCCGTCTTTCATTTTTGCAACCATCATCTTCCATGGTGCGATTAAAGAAAAGATTCTAGTACAGTTCCAGTACAGTCCAATTTCTAGTACAGTTCCATTATATCTACCTAGACACTATCTTACATCACGACACGTAAGTGGTGCATTTTTTGCACAACGCACCACTCCTACGATTGGTTCCGCATTTGGTGCCGCAAGGTCATACGGATCTCCTTGGGCCGGTATCTCAGCACTGATCATTTGCCACCCTTCCCTCCTCATCTCCTGCCTCCTATAACGGTCCAGACCCACATACTAGGTCCATCTCTTCCTCCCCTTCTACTCCCAAATAGTTATGGAAATTTAACCTTTTCTGGTGAACACCGCTCTGGTCGTGAATTGAGAAAAAACTGATAGAGGCAAAAATAAGCGAAGACAACGTTCAGAGGGCAAGATACATGTGACCACTCGTAAAGGCTATCAAATATTTGCTTAGTATTTCGAAAGTAAGTCGTACTTTTATTTTTCTTTTACTATTCATACTGTCGCGACACTGGTGATTTTGATTTGTCGTGACGATTCAATAAGATCCGATTCTAGTTTTTCATATTAAATCTCAATTTCTAGTACAGTTCCATTATATCTACCTAG